CGAATATCATTGTTGCTTATGTTATAGAACTATCAATTATTTTCTGTTGTTTGAAACATATAAATAATTTTCTATTATATAATATTGTCATCTAGTATTATTATCATCATTTTAGAAAAATACTCTGACATTTAATTACATTCAGTAGCCTGTCAATTTTAAGAAACTATTGTTTATGTTTGCTACGTATATAAGTTGTTCTTGTATTATATGCAATTTTAGGAGTCTAAAATATCACAAACAAGACAAAATAATAACTTTGATAACTGCTGGAAGTAGTGATGAAGTTTACTCCAAGTTTGAAGAGAAAAAAGAGGAGAAAGAAAAGGGGTGGATTTTGAAATAGGGAGTATGGATTAGAAAAAAGGAAAGTGAGAAAAATGTTGAGAAGTGGCATGTACCACCAGTAGTCTACACTGGCATATTTATTATATGAGCTCAAAATATTAAACAGCCTGAATGGAAACTGTGTGCCTCTGAGGGATGTACTGAGCCAAATAATTTTTAAACATGTAATGTATAAGGAGCATATTTATGCGGTATAGAAATTTTAACAAGTATTGCTTTAAAAAAAATCAAGAGAATAACTTTCTTTTTACCACTTTTAGAACGACCTCCTTACATGAAAAGGTACTTCATAAAAAAGAAAACGAAAAATCAATAACATTTCCAGATTGTTTAAAAATTATATATTTGTGTTTCCCTTAATTTTTATTATACAATCACGCAAGGCGCATAAGAAATTAATATCATTCCTAAAAAAATTGTACATAATGTTTCTATTGTGTTTTATCATAGTTTTATCAATATTATATTACAACTAAAATAGACATTTCAAAAAATCACTATAACATGGTTCTTTCTGATCTCGTAAGCAACTAAAGTTTAACATTTTTTATCACGTTCAAAACGGCCTCAACGGTAGTTGCAACTGCATACGCGCCAGCATCTACGTTTTGTAAATATTGTGCCTGTTTTACATAACTGGCTCGCCCTACCCTAAAACATAGATTAAATAAAGAAATTAATTAGACAAAGTTAGCGAGAATCTTTAACAAAGATATAAAAGAATTTTGCTGTAAATCAAAATTTTGCAACAGTTTGTTTAAAATTAACGTAACACGTAAAAGAATTATTATTAGTTCCTAGAAAGATAATTTAATTTGGTGACTACTAATTAGAGAGAATAGTAGGAATCTTCAAATTTAATTTGTATTGTACTACAAAGTCGTAGTAATTTGAATGTAAAATTTGTAATTTTCGAATTTGATGTCTTTCTAATTATAGAAAAATATGAGAATTGAAATTACAAAAAGATAAGATCTTCTAAAGGTGCGTATCCATTTGTTGCGTATTCGCGTATCGTATCACCGTTGCGTATCAATTGTGATTAATTTTGATACGCAGCGATGCAACGCGATGATACGCGGATATGCAACGATTGGATACGCACCTTAAGACTTGGACGTTTCGTCCATTTTATAAATCTTTTTAATTTTTTTTGCGAATGCTTAAAATCAAACGTTGTCTTCTATTAATAGTAATATCCTCGTGAATTATTAATATTGCTTAATAAACATTTTGAATAGCCTAATTAGTAGAAAAAATCAATTTGACATTAATATACTAAAATGCAAAAGATCTACTTTTATCCTCGACAGTTATTAAAAAATAGAAAAATATTCCAAGACTCTTTACAAAAGAATAAAGCTTCTTTCGTATTTGATTAAAATTAATTGACAGAAAGTCAATTGAGCGTATAAATATGCATGAACTATTTTTACTGAAGTATTGAAAGTGCCGCGCGTATCAATACAGAACCAATTACAATTGTTTTAATACAAAGTAAATTCTTTTAGAAATAAACTAATGCTAATTAATAATTCTAAACATTTTGACATAAAAACTAAGCTAATTGTTCTGAGAAAAAATGAAAAATGAATTTTCTTTTTATATTATGAATTTAATATTTAAAAATTATACAGGGTGTCTCAGTATTGATGGTACAACCGCGGAGGGGATGATTCTACGTGAGAAAATAAGTCGAAAATATGGAATAAATTTTTTTCATGCGAAGCTTCGTTTTCGAGAAAATCAACTTTAAATTTTCTTCGAGTAGGCATACACCCAACTATGTCGTGGATGAACGGATCTCGACGTTTGATGTACGGTGGCCAGCATTTTCAACAATTTTTGTATTAATAAAGTAAATCTTGATAATTACATGCTTTATTATTACTCATAAACCTACGACATATGGTCTATATCGAGATCCGTTCATCCACGACATAGTTGGGTGCATGCGTACCCGAAGAAAGTTAAAGTCGATTTTCTCGAAAACGAAGCCTCGAATGAAAAAAATTTATTCCATATTTTCGATTTATTTTCTTATATAGAATCACCCCCTCCACGGTTGTACCATCAATACTGGGACACCCTGTATAGGTTGCTTTTTTATACTATTGTTTGTGAAGAGCAAAGTTTTAAAACGTGGCTTCATAGAGAGTGAGGTTTCAGTTTGCGTCTACTGCGGCTTATGGTAAATGTAGCTCCGCAAGTCTGCAATAAACATACAAATTATTCAGAACTTACCGGGGTTTCATATTCTTCGTAGCTTCACATGCTTGCCAAGTTGCTGTCTTGACCGCTTCGCAAATTTCGGGCAACGGTTTGTGTAATACACTTTCGAAAGTTTCGCACATAACATGAATCGCATCTACCTAAACAAAAAATACGAAGAATATTCAAATATCACTGCAATACTTTGTTTTGAGTAGAATAACGCAAATGTTGGTCGTGTTGGGTGTTCGAGGAATCGAGAATTTATCAAGATTAATACCAATTTAGAACCCAATCTGCTAAAGCAAAAGCAATGTTTAGCAAATTTGGTGGAATTTGACAAATTTAGTGAAAGCTTAGTTGAGATGTTATCTATTGAAATTTATTTTTGTTATAACTTTTTAAACATTTATGGACTTATTTTTAACTAAAGAACGCAATGGCAAATCTTGCATGGAACTTCAGTCATTGCCCGTACGGGCAGCGTATTAGGCTTCGCCGGGCATAAACAAATCGGCGGGCAATAAGTACGTAAGTACAGTAGTAACCATCGCCCGTCTTAAGAGAGGAACCCCAATCGATGTTTCTTTCTTGCATAAATCGATAGTTTTATATCTTCAGAATATGTTCCCAAAATGTTAGATCGGAATTCGAAGAATTAACAGAGCTATAACCCGTTGGAATATAACGTGTCACGCATCTGTTCTCGAAACCACATTTTCCAAATCTTGTGTGCAGCATAACTCAACAAATATTTAACCGATTTTTTTCTACCTTTGCAGAAATTTACATAAATAGCTCCTCCAGAGGGCAAACCACAAAAAATAATGAAATTGTTTAAATTAATGTGTTTAATTGCACGATGAAGTGAAAAATTACGGCGAAAATCGAAATTTTTTATTCAAACTGCCGCCGTTTTGTCAATTTTGCAGTTATTTTCATAAATTGAGGTTTGCTCTCTGCGCAATTTCTTAGTGTTGCGACCTGAATTCTCGGTTCGGCGGATTATAGCAATAAACTACTTAGTCACATTTGGCCACCAGACCGAGGTGCCGACGTTCGGCAGACCGCAATATACCCCCCGTGGACGCACCAGTGCGACACTCAGACAATAGGTCTCAAAACACTTGGGACCATAAAACATTCGTTACCTCAAAAGGTCACAACTTTCGTCGACCAATAGCAGAACACACCACATTTTCCACCTCCATAACACAACAACCAATCAGAACCGACCTAATATCTATATATACACCTACACACCTGAAAACCGGCAATCACTGTAAGACTAGTGCACGAGACACATAGTCACAAAAAACATCTAATCAAAACAAGAATTCATCAAAACATCTACAACATCTAACCAAAGGAAAAACATCTAAGCAAAATAAAAAACATCTAACCCACCAACAAAGTTTTAATACACCTCGAACCAGCGAGAACAATCATCAACCCACGCCAGAACTCCTGATCATAAGATTTGATCAAGGTCCACGACGCAACACTTAGAGAACAGAACTTTCTTTGATTTTTTTGTCTCAGATATATAGAACAACCCCTATGCTGCATGCCGTACATTTTAAAAACACAGCCTAACAAATGTTTAAATAACTCCTTGAATAAACTTTCATTTTGCTCACTAATCGTTCTTTCTTTAGTCCATAACTATAAAAAACTACCCTCAAAATTTCAAAATAATCCACTGCATAGTTTCCGCAGAAAATGCTAACAAACTTTCATGTAAATTAGTGCTCATCGATTGGGATTCCCCCTTAAGAAGGACCTATACCTCTACCACAAGCGTCTTTCCCTCACAGCCCGCGACTTCGCCCTCAGCTTTGCCCGCGGGGCATCGGCGAGTGCCCTTGCCCACCTGAAGGCCTACTACTGTTGTATATATTAAGGCCCAAAGAGGGGTAAGTAGCTTTGTACGCTTTGTTAGATAATAAAAAAATTTCAGTTTGTATATTTTGTTCATTATTTCAAGGTATAGAATCGATACTCGAAAATATCATTAATGAAATAACATTAATGAAATACGCACCATAGATCTATCTCCTGGTTTTGCTTTTCCATATTTTATTAAACAATTTAGACCACTGCGCAACGCTTGAGCCCAAATGCCTATCCACCCATTTGTTTGTTTAAATAACATCAATTCCGTGTTGATGCTAGTAAAAAATAAGCAAAACAAAGCTCCAGAAGTACCACCCATTTCTTCTTCGGCTATATGCGCCAATTCAACAAAAACTGATGATGGATGTGAAAGGTAAAGCTTATCTAGCCTTGTCAAAATTTCTGAAAATGAATGTACGCAGAAGCGCATTCAATTAGTGTTTCTGTACACAAAGAGGAAATAGTATCTACTAGAAATAATAATATGAATTTTGAATATTTTTAGTTAACACGTATTGTAGAAGATATGTTTCGTTTCAGAAATGCAGAACATAGTAATATAGGATGATGGCCTTAAGAGAAATCATGAAGGAAATGCATTACTTTCCAAACGTTGAAATAATCAGAGAACTGTCACATTTTCGCACATTTGACATTTTATGATTAAAAAAAAGATTCAAATTTCTTCTCTGTTTCAAAGAAATATTCATTTTTTTATATTAAAGAAAAGAAACAAAATGATTACTTCTTTAATAAAAAGTCTATTGGTCGTGCGTAGTTATATATTATTTTATTACATTCTCTATGAAATATTCTTAATCACAAATTTGTAGATAAACAAATCTACAGGGTGAGGCGTTTAAAAACTTGACAATTAAATGTTTTAACATGTTGAAAGAAAATTATAACCGAAACAATTTTCTTCAAATATATGAA